CCTCAGCCTCCCAAAGGCGTGGGATTACAGGCTGAGCCACCGAGCCCGGCTTGTTTTTTTCTTTTCAACGTGTTTGAGTTCCTTGTAGATCCTAGATGTTAGACCTTTGTCAGATATACAGCTGGCAAATATTTTTTTCCCAGTCTATGGGCTGTCTCCTCATTCTCTCAATGGTTTCTTTGGCTTTGCAGAAGCCTGTCAGTTTGGTGAGGTCCCACTTGTCTATCTTATCTCTTATGGCATAGGCACTTGGGGTTTTGATCAGGAATTGGTTGCCAGTTCCAATTTCCATAAGGGTGTCTCCCATATTTTCTAAGGTCCTTATAGTTTGAGGTTTTACGTTTAGGTCGTTGATCCATTTAGAGTTGATTTCTGTGTATGCTGATAGGTAGGGGTCTTGTTTTAATCTTCTGCATGTGGTCAGTTTTCCCACCACCATTTACTGAATGGGTTCTCTTCCCCACAGTGGTTGATGGTGGAGACTTTGTCGAAGATGAGTTGGTTGAGAAATTGAGGTTTTGCTTCTGGAATTTCTATCCTGTTCCATTGGTCTATATGCCTGTTCTTGTACTAATACCAGGCTGTTTTGATTAATGTAGTTTTATAATAAAGCTTAAAGTCTGAGAGCGTGATGTCTCCCGTTTTTTTTTGTTTTGCTGAGGATTGTTTTGGCTATTTGTTGTTGTTTATGTTTCCATATGAATTCCTATATTGTCATTTCCAGGTCTGAGAAGAATGTTGCTGGCAATTTAATGGGTATTGCATTAAATCTGTAGATTGCTTTGGGTAGGATGGACATCTTAACAATGTTGATTCTTCCAATCCATGAGCATGGAATATTTTTCCATTTGTTTGTGTCATCTTTGATTTCTTTAAGTGCACCTTAGCTTTTAGCAGTCTTTACTTGCCTGTTGCATAGAGGTCTGTCCCCACACTCCTTTTCCTCACTAGTAGACTGGTGTTATTTTCTCCTAGTACTTGGCTTGCAGTGGGGAAAAGGGGTTTTTCTTTTCTTTTTTTTGAGTTGGAGTCTCTCGCTCTGTCTCCCAGGCACGGCCACTGCAGCCTTGACCTGCTGGGCTCAGGTGATCCTTCTGCCTCAGTCTTCCAAGCAGCTGGAAATACAGGCACGCGTCTCCATGCCCGGATAATTTTTTATTTATTGTAGAGATGAGGTCTCATCAAGTTGCCCAGGTTGGTCTCGAACCTCTGGGCTCAGGCAATCCTCTCACCTCAACCTCCCAAAGTGCTGGGATTACAGGCGTGAGCCACCACACCCTACCAAAAAGGGGTTTTTCATACTTCTGGTCCTACATTGATCTTAGGCAGGTCCTGTACAACTGAGCCTTACATATGGGTATTTTGTCCACTTTCCCACGACAACCAAATCCATTCTTGTATCTGTGGTGTATCTTGAGTGAGAGAGGGTTTTCCAGTACTAGCCAATGTCTACTCTGTGTCAGTTCGGGACATTTAACCCTAGTGTTTTCTGCTGCTCTGCCAGAGGCAGAGAACTTGTGCTTCTATCTCTTCCAGAAGCAAGGCATCTTTGCCAGGACTGTATTGGGGGATAATGTTTCTTGCCTTTCCCCCAATGGCTAGGGTTTTCATACGGAAGAAAGGTTTGGGGAAGTTAGAGTTTCATGATTGTCTTCAGTGACAGAACTATCACCTTCTAATATTCTTGTTATCTCTGAAAAAAGGTTTATTGCTATCTTACAGAGAGGAATGTGGTGTTTTCACATAGCTTCTTTATAGGTACTTACTAAGGATCTACGACATGAATAGCACTTTAAATATTTAGTACATTGCTGCCTGCTCTTTTATTTCTCTACCAGATACATCTGCAGAAAAACACATTCGTCATTCAACAATCCACCTGTTTCTTTTAGTCACTTTCCATAGTGTCATCCAAAATTAAAACAAGTCAAGATTAATGTAGTTCAGTCAAAAAGCTGTCTTGCAAGAGGCAAGTGTACCTCTCACCTGGAACACATAGGGAAGAACTGGATCAGGGATTCTGCTGTTTCTCTGGACACTGCCTTCAGGGGTCAGACATAGTGGGAGCTCAGATAATGATGTCTTATTTTTTTAAAAATCATCCTCTGAAAAGTCTCTTACTAGGAAATTACTGAATTTTTTAAAATGTCATATATGATGTTCAGATAGTGTTCAGATTTTTTTTTTTTTTTTTTTTGAGTTGGAGTCTCACTCTGTCGCCCAGACTGGAGTGCAGTGGCCGCTCCCGGCCACCGCAGCCTCAACCTGCTGGGCTCCGGCGATCCTTCCTCCTCAGCCTTCCGATTAGCCGGAATTACAGGCATGCGCTACCACGCCCGGCTGATTTTTTGATTTATTGTAGAGATGAGGTCTCGCTGCCCAGGCAGGTCTCGAACCCGCGGGCTCAGACAATCCACGCACCTCAGCCTCCCAAAGGTGCGGGATTACAGGCTGAGCCACCGAGCCAGGTTTAGTGTTCAGATTTTAAGGGCAGTTGGTTCAACCTCACTTTGAGGCCTGGGAAAGCCTAGTTAATTCTATTCAGACTTTTAGGAAAAATGAGGCTGAACTATTTTTTAAAGGATGATTTGCGTCTTATTGGGTTCTCTAATGTATCTCAGCAAAAGATCAGAATTAGAGAAGAGAAGAAAAATGCTTGTCCTAGTTAAGTTTGGAACATGCAGTCAGATTAATGGGTTTCTAGGGCCTGAGGAGGAAACGTTCTTATTTTTAAAAAAAAAATTCTATCCAAAGTAATAAGACCACTAAAGATAAATCCGCCTGTCTCTCTCTCTCTCTCTCTCTCTCTCTGCCTATTAACACCAGCTACTTTTACAAGATGAGCTGTTACACCCAGGAGAGGACATTTGACAGGCCCTTTGTACTCTGAAATGTGGTGTGATTATGAGCTTAGACATACATGTCAGTGTTATTTCAGCATCTGAATGTCCAAGATTTTATTGCTTGTCGCCGAAGAGGAAAAGGGAAAACACAGAAACAAGTAAAACAAGGAAGCTGGCTTTGATTTATGTTATTCGCAAAAAGGGCCTTTCCCATTCGCGGGTGCCACTCACAGGCGCTCCAAGTCCAGCAGGGCGGGGTGGTGCCCGTTTTCAGAAGGACTCGCAGGTTAGCAAGCCCCCCTTCCCGACCCCAACTACCGCCCCTGCGCGAGGGCGGCGGGACGCGGCGAGCGGCTTCCGGGCAGCCGGGCGGCCCTGGGGCGGCGGCGAGAGCGGCGCCTG